GAAGGGAACATATAAAAGGAAAATGAGGGTTGAAAGGCACGATAAAGATAAACAGAAAAAAAGAGAAAAAAAAGGGAAAACTAAAAAGTTGACCGGAAGAAAAGAAAGAGTGAAATAGAGTGATAAAAAAAAAGAAGGGCGAAACCTAGTAAAATTAACAGAAATGAGAAGGCTATGAAACGGAGAGGAAAAGAGACAAATTAATAAGGTAAGAGGGGAACATAATGAGGGAAAGAGAGGCGAGAACGATATGGGGGAATGGAAAGATATTGAAAGAAAGAGAGAGAGATAAAAAAAAAAGCTTTAGTTGAAAGAAAAGGGGCACCGATCAGATTTTAATAGGGGCATTTATCGGAGTTGATGGGGGCATTTATCAAACGTGAAGAGGGGCACTTCTCGTACTTAAAGAGGGATACTTACTAGAGATTAAAAGGACACTAATGAGAATGGAAAATGGACACCTATTGTAAAGGAAAATAGGAACTCGTCGAAGGAAAAGGGGTGTGTGTCAAAAGAAAAGGAGCACTTATCAGAGTTGAAAAGGGGAAGGGGCACTTTTACAAATTAATAGGGACACTTGTCAAAGTAAAATAGGTACTTTTCCTACATACAAAGGGGCACTTTGGGGGAACTTGAAAAAGTGGGGGGACACTGTGCCGCTAGCTAAACGTAACTCAAAGACAGTTGGCCATTCACTTATTCTATTCATTCTCGGCTGGCAACTGTTCCCTACACTCTGTAGCCAGTGGCTTACATACTTACGTACATGTAATACTTATTGTTCAGGGGGATCCTATGTTCAAGGGGAACCCCTTGAACAATAGGTATTATGTAAGGATCTCTGCCTGTAGCTAGGGCAACGGCCTTTGTCCCCGGCGAGGGTCAATGGCAGGCCACATTCAGAGTAAGCTTCTTTTGTATGTGACAGGAAGTGTGCCCTTAAGCCTTGACCGTAGCTCTTTATACATATAGCTGAATAATGCAATGTTGTAAAAGGTAATTTACGAAAATGAGGAACGCTAAAAAAGCAATAAGTGATCAAAGTCTAAGGCCCGAATTCACAAAGGAGGTTTGTCGACAAACCTTGGTTTTCGTGCGTCATATGACGCGTTTTTACAAACCAGGTTTGTAAAATGGATAATGATTGAATAAAAAAAAGTATAACGATATTCATAGTAACGAATGAGCTGGTGAACCGTAATTCTAATTGGTACAGCCTTGTAATGTAAGAGTATCACAACATACTTAATTATGTTAGCCCTCCTTTACATTTTGTAATCATTTTTACTTATTTACAACTTAGGAATAACAAAATTCCCCCCTTCCTACGTCGTTCATCGCTTTTTTCTTTTTTCTCACCGAGGATTAAATCCGAGAGTGCTTTTCGGGAAGTGGACTGATTTTTTTAACTTTCAAACATTCTATAATAAAACTAGAGACAAGACACTGCAATTAAAAATATATACAAGAGAAAGAAAGCGTAATCTTCGCTATCCCCTCGTATCGTCCACGTTGTCCTCGTTCAACCAAGAAGTAACTTCTTGCTTTTACTGAACTAGACGTCCTTAACCTGCTCACCATCACCACTGAAAATAAATTGTAACACAATTCCAGCGAGCAATCGAATCGTGTAAATTTTGAATCGTGTAATCGTGTTGCGGAGATTTTCGGCGGGCAGATTACACGATTACACGATTCGACCTGAATTGAGGAATCGTGTAATTTTACACGTTACACGTTTACACGATTCAAATTTCGCTTCATTGGCAAAAAACGAATCGTGTAAAAATAAATGGTTACACGATTCCCGCGAGCAGTCGAATCGTGTAAATTTTGAATCGTGTAAATCGTGTTGCGGAGATTTTCGGCGTGTACTGTACATGTATCAAATAATTCACAGGGCATTCAAAATATCATTCTTCAGTGAATTACTGAATATCAATATTTAGCAGGGATTGTGTTGATATTGCGTCATCTTGTTCTAAGGATGCAATGACGTTGCAGTTCAGAACGGTGCGTGTACATGATGTATATTATTTGTAAATAGAAATAATAATCTCATTTTGTTTATTAAATGACTTTTAAAGACATAAAAGTTAAGATTTCAATATATTCTGTCAAGTGTAGAGGAGTGCTAAACCACATCTCGGTGTTTAATATACTACATACTATTTTTTTTCTCCATGTTACGCATATCATAATCATGATACAAATGACTTTATTTGGGTCTGCACTGAACCATTTTATCATGTAGCACGATTGATTGACTGTACATGTTTTATGCCACTTTTTCGAAAGCCAAATCATCTCAAATGAAGGAAGCGTTTTAAAGTTTAAAATTCTGTTTAAAAATTACCTGTTCATACTTCATCTGGATTCTTGGCTGAGTTACAGTCGGTCGTTTACAGCACCTATTTTTTCATTTTATTTTTTTTTTTCTCTGAATTTAAAAGCACTGTATTCCTACTGTTATTATGATTATTACACAAAATTATAAGGAAATGTGACGTTATTTTGTAAATCAAAAAGACTTAACTTTTTCTTTATACATTACTGCTCCTAATGTAGAATTTTTGTTTGTCTAATAAGATAAGTTACACATTATTTAAAGTGACTCGGTAACATTGTTGAAGGTTGATAAAAAAATTGCTTAATTTTAGTATAAAATGTTACTTACTATATTCCTTCTACTATACTAACCCTCTGACATGCAAAAAATCCTGAACAAATTCTCAAACCACAAAGATATCTATGATTTTCTTTGAAGGCGTCGATGTGAGGCACCCTCTAACAGTGATTAACAGTAAATTCTCCCAACCATTTTTGAATTTTCCCAACCGTTTTTCCATGAGAAAAATACATAAAACAGGCTATAAAAATCTGTCAACACTTAACTGTCTGGAATGGAATGTAGAGCCATTTTATTGCTTTGTGACGATTTACATTCACCTAAAATGTATCTAAATTGTCCTTGTCTTGATGCTGAACAGGCTTGGACAAGTAGCAGAATAGAAGTAGAATAATATAGTTGGGAGAATTAAGGAATCGATCAGATCAGTTTTTCCCAGTTTGTACCATGAATAATGATCCGTTTTCACTCAAATGTTCAGATTATCTTTAATTGTACATCTAGCATTGAAGTCACTACCTTAGCACCACTATCTCTCATCTAAACAATGTTACAAAGTCCCTTTAAACACGTTATACGAATAAGGAAGAGTGTGATTATAATGATAAGTAAGTTGATTTTTTGAATTGCTACAATTTCAAAAAATATTTTTTAAATACTTGTAAAAGTACTTTTATTTTGTCGATGAAGTTAGTGTAATGCGTGTACATATTAAAAAGCTTGGAAAATGTATTTAAGATGACATGATTATAAAGTAAATATTCAAAACTGCATATTAATAAATGAATTAATTGGGAAGATTAGGTGAGTTTATTATATTTACATGGTTAAGTTATTACTGGTAAATCCATTTAATTAATTAAGGACTGATTGATTAGTTGATCGAAAGATATTGATCGGTTGATGAACAGATTTTGAGTGGCTAATCGATTGAATCAATGATTTATTGTTTTCTTATAGTTCCTTCTTTATGTATATAGTTCATGAATAAATTGGATTTAAATTGAATAATCGATTTGATTTTAATTGAGTTTACAGGCATGATTTGAATGTTTGAATGAATGATTATATAAGATATTGTGATCATCTTGTTATTAAAATCATTTAAACGTGTTATGGATTCTCAAGATTACCACAATCAAGTTCAGTAATTGTCCCACAAACTATTGGGCAGTTAATTATGTACATGATATATAATCTTGCTTAATTCGAAGAAAAATATTATCCTGATTGGGCAAAATATTACGCAAGTTTGGCAATATGAAGAAAAAAAGTTCGCCCCCATCGTTCTCACCTGTATGCACATGTGTTTTGAAAATTAATCGCCCGGAACAAACTGGGGTCCCGAGTAAACTGGGGCTTGTAGAGAATCACTCAACACTTTTACCATGGCAACAGAAATTAGGTTAACATTGGCGGTATGTGTACTCCTTATGCCAAATATGTAGCAGGTGAATTATATTTGGTTCACATCCAAAGTAGAGTCTAGATTGGGTATAAAGCATTCGCGAGATCCATGCCCCTCTCTGCGGGTTTTTCCTGTGCTTTATAAGTACGGGTGCCTATAACTTATATTTAGAAGTTGTCTTTTGATTGACCCGCTGCTTGCACACACGAGAAATTACCAGTGGCGTACGTCAAATGCACGTGTCCCCAAAAGGGGAACGACACAAAATGACAACCATAGAAAAGGGAGAAATGGACGAGATCATTCCCATTTTATTCAGCGAATAAGGCCGATGCGCACCCACCCACCCCCCCCCCCCCCCCCCCCTCCCTCACCCGATTACGAATGACCAATAATGACTGAATACATGCTACGCCGCTGGCAATGACGACACTAGGCTTTACGATGATGATTCGGAGAGCGAGGATATTTGTAATAGTGGCAGAGTTGATTCATCTATTATTTTTTTAGTAGATACATGAAAAACTGTTTATTTGAAAACTTTCCAAACTTGTATTCATGGAGAAAAAATAACACGACAACATTGACCAAAAAAAAAAGTTTTACAAACAAGTATGCGTGAATCCTAGCATTGTTCTCAAACTGCTTTGCAGAATGCAGTAATGTATTGAGCCCTTTGAAGATCCCGTTTAAATAGTAAAGAGAATGATTGGCAAACTGACACGTAAATAATCCATTAATCTTAGATAGAAATAACTTTAATTCGTTACAGACTCGCCACGTTTATGCGATCCAAATAACTTCGAAAGTGTTGGCTCTCGAAACGCATTCTTCCTCCTCTTAATTCAACTTTGTATGCCCTGCATGCCAGGTCATGTACACTCGAACGCTTCCTATACAGATAACGACAAATAAATGATCTGCCCAGGAAGATGTAAATTATCCAAAACTTGATGGCAAAGAAAAGGGGGTTTGGCTTCGGAACGATTTAAACGGGGAGAGTAAAACAACGTTCGTTTCCGAGTTGTATCTACCGAGCGCGGAGTTTACGAAGGGGGGAGGCGCGGGGTGTTCGTTTACGCGTAGGAACCTTCTTCGGTTGAGTGCGAAGAAAGCGTTCGGACGATCATAAAGTGTGATGTCATGGGATATGCGTGTTTCTTGTGAGAGTCATTTTCCGTCATGGCTTTTGTTCGAAATATACGGAGATCTCTGGAATTCATCCTACAAATTGTGATTATTGTCTCGGTGTTTGAAGCAGTTTGGGGCCAGGTTACATGCGGTAGGTGTCAGATTAAATCTGTGTTGTATTTTGTTTTCGAATTAACTTTTTTATATTATGTTTCAAGGATACTTATTGACTTTTTGTTTTGGTATCTCAATGAGTTACCTGTTAAAGATCTGTTCGATAATAGTAATCATCAAATAGCATTTATAACGCAGCAATGGGTTTTTGCATCACAACTTTTAGTACTACTATAGGCCTACCCGTTTGCTAGTAATACTGTAAAGCGCTTAGAAAGATCGTAGAACTATTAATAGGTGCTATAGAAATTATGATAATTAGTTTTGTCAGTACCTCTCATAGATACGCCTGGTGCTATTACTTTTACAGTTACTTGATTGCCGAGTTATTTGGCAAAAGAATTGATCAAGCGTCTTCTTTTTCCTTCACTTAAAAGTTTGCTTTGCCCACTCATGTCGAAAAGAGATCTAAATTAAGATCTTCATAATAGTTTGGAAATATCTAAATAAGTCATTAGAAATGCGATGTTTCGGAGTAATGAAGGGAACTTAGGGTACATTCCCCAGTAAAAAATCAAGTCAGTCTTGTTTTCCGCCCTGAAAGCATGCAGCTATATTATGAACTGTGATTACATTTAGTTAGGAGCTGCTTTTGTAAAAAATTAAGTGTAATCTACTGCATTTAAAGAGAAGGTTGAGTACAAACAACGATTTGTGCGCTTTTCATTCTATTAATATTTAATTTAGTGAAGGGTATGATAGCCATAAAAGAGGTCCACTGAAAAGAACGTATCATCAAATACCTCATATTCGGAACATGACGAGAAATAGCTAAAGGTTGTGAACCACACAGTCCCGTCACTAATACTCGTGTTGTCCCATATTTATATATACGGTGCAGGTTACTTTAAGCAAGGCCGGGCAAACTTATTACCGTCTTGATGATTCAAACACCTAACAGTACACCAATACGTACATGTATGTGCTACAGGATGAAGCACAGGTGTCCTAATATATCTTTTATTTTTTTTGTTTGTTTTAATAATTCCGGTGCAAAGACTCATTATAACCAACAATTACAATTATACATATGCATACTTGTAACACTTCACAAGGATACTCGGTTCAATGTCATGACTAATTTCCTAGCTATATACTCAAGATAGTAAATTACTATACTAGGGCGTTATTTTGGGGTCACATAAACAGCTGTTTGAAGAGAGAGGTTAGGATTAAAAAGCTGGCATTAGATTGCATGACTGGACATTGATTAGCATTTTGCACACAATAGTCATTATCATTCAATAAGATTATGTGGATTTTTAAACATAATTTATCGATTGTTTCCACATAATTGTTTAAGATCTTTACGTTTTTGTGTGACGGCCTCCTTCGGAGGTATTCTACAAATACATATATGCGCCTTATTTTCAAAAGTTTTATTATTAGTTTCTTTATCTTGTAAACTCAATGCACGACTACGTTGCTTCGTAAGTTTTTATTTGATACATTTCTCTTCAAACGCATTAACTTATTCATTTTACTAAGTATTTATTCATGTATTTATCTATTAATGTATCTATTTACTTATCCATGCATTTATTTATCTATCTATAAATGTATCTTTTTATATTTTTCTTTATTCATTCATTCATTTTATAGTCATCTAGCAAATTGCATTGCATTCATAATCTATTTTAGTGTTTCTGTTATGTCGATTCCCTCCTTCGAAAAATACTTTTTCTGTAAAGACTCTACCTTTACAATTATCCTCCCTTTCCAAGTTAACTCAAACATTGTCGCGTTTCATTAACATTTAGTGCGCTAGACTCATCACCACCTCTCTTATGATACTCGAAAGGGGAGGGGAAATAAATGAAATTAGTGGGGGTAATCTAATAATGGCGCAGACAGGATACTATTATGTAACTCAAAACCTTGTTTAGATATTTAAAATCATAATTACCCACTGCCTGCCACGCGGGAGCTATATCCGGGAATGCCCAATTTAACGATTAGCGAGCCGTCTGTCGGGATTTTCCCACTTTTTGTTTTGTCTTCTTGTCGTGTTTGGTTCTTTAGCTGTTTTTACTTATGATTCGATATTCGAGTGATATCAGTATTAAGAGAAGGGTTAATATTCATTTAGACTGCGATAAACAACAACATTAGCAACAACAATAATACGAAGTTTATTATTCAGTACATTATGCGATTCAGACTTGGACAATATTATTGAAGAACAAAAAAAAATAATATGATATAGTTTGTACACTTCTGCTAGGGTTAATAAATACGTTATCAGCTCATAGATCGCAATATTATCTAATAAGCTCTATTTATATCGTTTCCGGCAAACCATATTCATGTTTATTGCAGTTCGTCCCTGGTGAGGCGGAGGGGAGAGGGAGGAAGCCTGCATGAGCTGGCTGCAACAATAGCTCTCGCTCCGCGCCGCAGATGTCCGTCCGGCGGCGCGCCGCCGGACGGACATCTTGAAATTACAAATTATTACAAATATTCGAGCAATAGTATTGTCTTCTTATAATAGTTGTATTTCATCGAGTGTTAATTTTGATGCCGAACTTACATCTTCACTATAATAAGATGTCTAGTGTTGCTCCCTCACACCATTCATGTACTGGAAAGTTGATATTCATGGCATTGTGGTCCTCTTTAGCTATAATGTCGTTGTTATTGCTGCTGTTGCATTTTTTAATCTTTTTTTTTTTGTCTGTTTGTTTTTTGTTTTTGTTTTATTAGTATCCCCTAGTATTCATGTTCTTATATATGGCCCTATGCATATATGAACATACTGTGCGTCAAGTTGTCTTTCAAATGCAGTTATTCTGCTCAAATATTGAGACGAAATGAACAGTGCTTGATAGAATTTCCGGCCTTTGTTCAACAAACCATTCTATTAATTTTAGAAAGGGGAAAATTGCACAGAGATTCTCGCTTCCCTTTCCGCTTTCGTGGATTATGACCGGATTAAGGCATCGCATTTTACCCCATGCATTTGTGCACTCTAATTCTTGCATTGAAGATGGAAATCGCTATCACGATTAGCCGAATTAGGGGCGGATCATTATCATTTTTTCCTTAATTCTGAAATGAATGTGCCGGATAAGCAGATAAGCTACATTCTAGGTGCGGGATTAAATATCTCCTTCAACAATTTGCACCATTGTCATGATTGTTGCCTCATGGGGAGTTGTCCCCTGCTTGTGCTTGTGATGAGAGTAGGAGAAAAAATTCCGTTGCAAAATTAAAACTTAGTTGATCTGTTGGATAATTTTAACAATTAAGCGTTTAAATAAAAACCCATTATATGTGGCCGTCACTGTTAGCTCGTACTTTTAGACAATGCCATTGTTTATAACATCAATTATATCACGTGTGTCTCATTACATCTATGATGAAGTAGATATAGTTCAACTTGCATGTTATTAGCAGTGTCACTTGTATCGGCGCAGGCGCATTTAGTGTTCTCTTGGGGTTTTTCGGGTTTTCCCCTTTTAAGTACATTTCCCTCTGGTAACAAAGCGCTTTCTTCCTTGTCAATTATACAAGTAAATACCCCCCCCCCCCCATCTCTCTCTCTCTCTCTCTCTATCCCTCTAATCCTCCTCTTATTCCTTCTAACTGCACCCCTTTTGTTTTTTTCCTTGCTATTTTCCCTTGCTCCCATTTTCAATAAATCTTGACCTCTATCCCTCCGGCTCCTTTCCTGTACACTTTTATCTTCATCGAGATCATATTGTATTTCTATATAAGATAATGTGTAGTTGTACCCACCCCGGGTACCCATATTTCTGATTTGTAAACTAATATCCACTCAGTCCTTCTATCTTTCTCTTGTTCACTTGAGTCTCTCTTCTCTCTCTCTCTCTCTCCCCCCCCTCCCCCCCCCCCCAAAAAAAAAAATCTCTTTTTTGTTCTCTCTCTCTCTCTCTCTCTGCATGCGTTCCACTTTGATTTGATTGATTGGTTGACAGATTGCATCGCGTTTCACAGTCGTAAGAATACATAATCGACCGAAATCTCATTTAAAGTTACTATGTCCCTTTTGCAGCCAACCTTAAATGCTGTAGAACTTTGCAGGAATTATGAATAGGTCTAGATCTATGTCATGTATGTTCTATCTGTGAAATTTAAACGTTAGCAGTGTCCTCATATTCAAATTATGCAAGGAAACCCGTTTACTTGCTAGACTTCACTGTCAGACACTATTGAGTGACTTAGTGGCTTTTTTCTTCTTTGGTAATAACATACATGAAAAGAGGTGTAAAGGGTACATGAGCATTTTTCTACATCAATAACCTACTTCTTGTGATGGCCAAGATTAAACTGATTGAATATTTGCGCAGCATAAAACGTATGACCATTCGGTACAATTGTCTGAAAATCAAGACTATTACTTTTGGGCTCTATAGCCCTAAAGTCGATTTGACAACTAATAGTCGTTATTTTCCCACTTGAAGACATTTTCAAGCCCCACCTTTTTTAGGGAAGTTCTAAATTAGTATTATCTTTCAAATGCAGTTGGAATTTAACTTTTTTATTTTTTGGGCCTGCAAATGGGACATAGTACCTTTAAAGAGAACGTCACTTTTTAGTAAAGGCGATAAATTACATACTCTGTGATATGAGTTTTTTCTTCAAACATATGGATGAATATCTTTGTAGTAATGTTACATGTATGGGATTAATCAGGAATTCACTCGTATTCAAAATATAACTGATATCATTCTAATTTTTATGTCACATGTTTGTGGATGACGTCTACTATTTTTTACTGGGCTTTTCACTCGAAATGATGTTAACAGATTATATGCTCCCCCATACCCCCCCCCCCCCCCCCACTCATAAAAAGACCAATGATTAGGAATGCTATGCAATGTTTCACTTTATCGCAGTGACATGCATAGATGTAATGGTCAGATGCAGTCAAAGAAGCTGTCTTCCCCTATATCAATTCACTTTTTATATTTTAAGCACGAGCGAAATGCGAGAGTAATTTCTTTTATGTTTGTTCTTATTAATTTCTATAAATTTAGTGTATGTAATTGCTTTTTTAATCTCTCCAACATATTCTTATTAATTTCTATAAATTTAGTGTACGTACTTGCTTTTTTCTAATCTCTCCAACATAAGATGACCGAGTATAATCAGTTTATCGGAATATTTGATACTGTATTTCCAAAAGGACGCTAGCCACTCATACTGATTGGCTGGGATTCGAACCCTTATCCCTGGAGAGTCAAGTGAATGAACCACTGTACCACGATCCCTCGTTATCTTATTTCAAATCTGACCAGCTCCTAAACAATAATAGGCCATTATGATGATGATGTTATATTAATTGAATATCAATGGTTCATGCATTACAAATCTGTGGTATCATCGAATATGTGTTGAAAGCATTCAAATGAATTGTACAATTATTTTGTATGTGTGTGGGGGGAAGGAGGGGGGAAGATCAAAACACATAAGAAATATATAACAGCATCACTTAATTGTACAATGTGGTATAGTAAAGGTATTTAGTATTTATAATACGTATTAAATTATATGTCATAATAAAACATTTCTCCTTCTGTCTCCAGTTTCTGTCTAAAGATTTTAAGTAAGGAAAGCAAAGCAATATGTCATTTAGAAAAGGAGCATGTTAAACAGATATTGATGAGTGAATGATATTAAGAAGAATTCTTTTATTATCTTTATGATACGAAACACCATGTAACATAATATGAGAAACGTTGTTTCTTTGATATTACAATATTTCAACACTTTGCATTGTTCTCTTAAATACACCCAATCGTGCGTGCATAAGCGCCGTCGATGAGATCATTCGAAGATCAAGTGTGATTTATAAACGAACTCATCCCCACCCCCCTGCTCTTACCCCCCGCCAGGAAACGTTTAATGTATGATGAATGTAGTGGTGATATCGATGGCTGTGTTCTAACGTCGGGAATCTTCTGTGATTACGGCTCCATCGACAATTGCAAAAATAGAAATTGATAAAGAAAGAAAATAGAGAAAAGAATAACAAATGACAAAATAATGATTTAATCAATTAATCAATAAAAAAGGAATGCATGGGAATAAATGAATGTGTAAATAAGTAAATATTAAATAAATAAATAAATTAATAAATAAATAAATAAATAAATAAATAAATAAATAAATAAATAAATAAAAAATAAATAACAATTGTCATCTTTAAATCTGCATCGGGTCTTTAAGTTAAAGCATCAAGTTTTAATATTTGAGAATGCAATATTTGATTTAGCTATTTTACTACGCTGATCAATTGTTCAGCCTTATTTTAGGTTAGTGTCAAGCAAAATCGAAAGTCTTGAAACCTATTTCAGTGAGTGAATCAGACACATCTGACTCTCAGAGATATACATCTCAAATTTTACAGCATTTCACTTCATTGTTAAATGGAAAATGAACTTTCTTTGACCTTATCGGACATGACACCAAATTGACAAACATTGTGTGTTACTCCTCCGAACAGCTTGATAGATGAATTTCGTGATTCAATGAATTACGTTCACGGCAGATTAATAGACTCGTGAAGTAATGTCAACGTGAGAACACGGCCCCAGACAACCCTTGTATTAAATTAGTCATCGTCTATAATGGATCAAAGCCTCAAGTTTGACTGCAGCACAAAGGGGCATAGGGTGAAGACAGGGAGGCATAAGGGGACCATCCCTATTTTCCTTTTCATCTGCTTTAACAAAAAATATTAACAAAACAAGAGCAGCAAGCAAACTCAGGGGTCATATCCTTAACCCTAGACCTAGTATATGTACACCCGTACCTATCTAGAAGACTCCACGGTTTTGTGTTCCCTCGTCTGGGCTCCGAACCCCTCCCCTCCCCTCCTCCTTATTTAACACGTCTGGGTACACCAGTGCGAATGAGAAGAGAACGTATTGTCTGTAAACCTTGGCTTCTAAATAAATCCTCTTGCATTCATACAGATATACAATGCAATGAGATATACTAAATTGTATTCATTATTGACATGAATAGGTTAATATTTAAGACACTTTCAACCATGGCATTTATTCATATTATTCAATATGATTATTCTATTGTTTGAATAGTTTTGATTTATCTATTTATGTTGTTTGTCTGTGTAAACTGCCTTTTGAATTATTGCCCTACATATACATCTATTGAATTCATTCAACTCATTATTAATTGTTTAACAGTTCTATCCGAAGCGAAAGCCTAGTTAAAAGCCAGAGAGAGAGGGGGAGAGAGAGAGAGAGAGAGAGAGAGAGAGAAAGAGAGAGAGAGGGGAGAGAGAGAGAGAAAGAGGAAAGAAAGAGAGAGAGAGAAAGAGAGAGAGAGAGAGAGAGAGAGGTGGAGAAAGAAGGGAAGAGAAGAAAAGGTGGAGAGGGGGCGCTGGAAGAAAGGGCAATGAATAGATACACCAACATAATGTAGGGGGAGAAAAATACGAGTTTGTTTTTTTAAATCAATTGCCTTTTATCATGTATATAAATTAAGTACAAATCATGGAATATGATAAAATGTGATACAACTTTTAAATGTTTAGATTTCTCAATTTTCACTGGGAAGGTGCTATATAAAAGGCAAATGATGTTCATAATATTTTTGCCCTTAGATATCATCATTATCATTATTATTAGAATTATCGTTATCATTATGATCATTATTATCTTTATCATTATTGCTATCATAATTTTTAATAAATCAATCATGATCGTTATTATCGTGATTTGCATTAAGATAATTATTATTACTTTTGATGTTGCATTACCGCATCACATTTAAATTTCTCTCCGCCCCCCCCCCCCCCCCCACCTTATAGCTAGTCGTCGATGTAGAATACAGCTCAAAGAGGGCGAGGCACAGGATGTCACTTTTCCAGGCAGTGTTGACACTGTAATCGACTCCCTCGACGAGGTACGATGGACGATCACGGCAAGTAACAGGCGCAACCGAATCATCTTCGTCATCGAAGACATCAACTGGCCGAAGACCGACATCAAATTCGAGGATCAGAACCCGAACCAGATTCCGATACGGCACGAAGACAAAGTCTTTCCGATCTTTCCCGAGTACAGCACGAAGGTGATCAAATCGGGAATCTTTCTGTCCGGAACCCACTCGATGCAGATGGAAATGGATATTCCGATCATTGCCGAACTCCAGAGTATACCCTCTTTTAGGATGCATTTTACAGCATACACTGTGAAAGGTAAACAATTCTTAAAGACCTGAAAATTAAATGGATGAATTATAAATCAACGGAAAGCTTATTAGCCATAGCTTACAATAATATCAATTATATGCCATGTTAGTGTCTGTCAGAGAAGTATCAGCTCTCTGGAAACTCAAAATCTAAAGCTTTGAAAGTCGGAAATTGTCGACCTAAAAACATGGTATCGACTTGATGACATCATCGTATGTGGAGTACGCATATTCACAATGACTTTGCATTAATTAAGCATGGCTCATAGCCTCAGCTTTGTAGGTGAACTGGTCCGGTCCACTTAATTATGTCGTCACTATAACTTTGGCAAATTTGACCCCTGTTGACCCACAATTTGGAGGGATGCGGAAAATGGGGGTTTTAATTTGTTTTTGTGCAATAATGAAAGGGTAAATACTTGTTATTCCTTTATATTTGTTTTCTACATTCATTCAGTTTTCCATTTGTATCAAGTTGTATTTTCTTCGGATAAGGTATTTAAGTTTCAGTAAAAAGAGAACAAGTTAATACCCAACTGAATTTTGATGACACCTTTGACTTTAAACTTGAGGATGGGCTTGGCTATTGCAAACGGATTGCTTCGTTTAGAGCTCTTTCGTTATGGCCTCAATGAGTCATCTTTCCAAAAATGTATTTTGTTTTTAAATGGTCAAGCCAAAGCGTTGAAAAGAGGTCAATACCTTTGTGTTGTTAAAAATATATTCTCTAACTCTAAACATAGACATGCAGCCCAAGTCCCAGTACCCCCCCCCCCCCCTCCCCCTCTTCCATTATATTGTTTCTATGTCTCCTCTGTCTTACTCACCCATTCTCTATCTATATATTTATTTCTCCCCCCCCCTCTCTCTCTCTCTCTCTCTCTCTCTCTCTCTCTCTCTCTCTCTCTCTCTCTCTCTCTCCATCTCTCTCTCACACACCTTTACTCTTCCTCTTGTTTTTGTATATCCAGAGGTGTTTCGTTGTAAGCTGAGTACCGTCTCATGTGAGACAGAATCCACGTTACTCTGGAAACAGAATTCAGGTAAACTAAAGTTTTGTTATTATTACCATATGCAGAAGCAGTACTAAGGAGTAGTAGCACCATCAACATACGTAGAAGTAGAAGTAGTAGTAGTACTAGTAGTTAATTGTTGTTGTTGGTGTAGTATTAGCTCCCTGACTGTATTGTTGTGGATATTATTATTGTTATTATGGTAGAAGTAGTAGTAGTAGTTGTAGAAGTAGTAGTAGTAGAAGTAGTAGTAGTAGTAGTAGTAGTAGTAGTAGTAGTAGTAGTAGTAGTTGTAGTATCATTATTATTTGAGTATATTATTATTACTAATATTTTGTTATAATTATAGTTGTTGTTACCAGTTTTATCATTTTTATATATACATTTTTAATATCACTATTATTAAAAACATAATTATCGATGAAGATGACGATTGCAATAATATCCAAATACATGTGGTGTAATGATGACAAAGATAATAAAATTAATAACAACAATATCTCTTTGTCCCCCATTCTTTGCCTCCCCCCCCCCCCCCCTCTCTCTCTCTCTCTCTCTCTCTCCAGACGGTTTTGTTTTCACCGGTAGAAGCCACGCCGACGAGGGCGCTCTGACAGTTCGCTTTCCCCAAGGAACCCGGCTCAACGGGAAAGGTTACGTCTCTTTCGGCTACAAATTCGACTATCAGGACAGCAGGGGGATGAGTGGCGGCCAGTCACGAGACGAGAAGGGTAGGGTCACGGTCGCGTGTCCCGGGAGACGGAATTTCGAAATTTCTTCCGATGGAGCGACCCAGCTTGTCGTTAATTGCGATGTTGACGACGCGTCGGTATGTTTCTTTCCTTATCAATGACCTCATGACACACCTCCATATTCCGTCACCTTTCTCTCTCGCTCTCTCTCTCTCTTTCAACCTTACACCGTGCATTTATCTTCTTTTCCCCTTCCATTTTTTTTACATCCTTGTATTCCTTTCACCATAATTGTCTTTCTTTCTCTCTCTCTCTCTCTCTCTCTTCAGCTTCTTGTCTTAATTTCAATTTCTTCGTTTTCATTGTTTCCTTGTTTACTTTTTTTCGAAGAGCATTCTTGTATCATACACGGCTTTAATATATATATTTCCTATTTAACATTGCCTCCATTCCTCGAATTCAGTTATAACTAAAGGACGAAAATATTTTTTTTTAAATTTCCCGTTATTTACTAGATAACATTCACAGCGCATGGAAGTTTAAAGCTCGTCATCGTCGATGTCGATTTAAACGATGCCAGTGTCTCCGCGACCTCCGTCGATCCAGGTAAGACCTTACACTAGCTGTAAAGTTTGCAAAGGCTTATTTCGTTCCTTCGGTCTTCGTGTCGGGTAGGGTTGTCGTGCTACACGAAGTTTCGTCACAACATAACCAGATATTTATTAACGGTCGGATACATTACGTTGTCGGGTTACTCGAAGTTTTGTGGAAACATATCCCCTTATTCCTGAAAGGTCGGGTGATGTGACTGCAAAAGAAAATCGCATTTGTTTCGAATATAGTCCTTGAGGAAAGGGTGATCATTTTACATGTACAGTTGTCAAAACAAGTCAATGCAATGACAAATTGTGTATTGCTAGCTTTTTTTTAACTATCGAGATTATCTTGATTATTCGTCGGGACGCGATTTTTCGTAAATTTGCAGTAATTTGTCCAGATTGTGCCGGTTAAACTGGAATGCAGGAAAGCCTGAATCTGGCGATCGGGGAAATGATATGTATGTAAACCGCTTGGAAACATCTGTGACGTATTATATATAAACCCAGAATATTGTTTTTATTATTGGTATGATTATTATAATTTATTATTATCATTATTATTGTTATTATTATAATTGTCATCCAGTAACTAACACTTTTAGCATGTTAAGTAATAATATGTGCTTGTCTGATGTCAAAACAGGCGTCAACGCGTTGGTACCCTTTAAATCAAGGGCCCATATTGATGAACCGTATTGTATATACTTTCCTTTCAATACTATATATTAGCAATGATAACCGAGAAAAATCTTCTCCAAGATACTTCGAAGTACAAGTTAAAGCAGCATGCTAATCTCAGAGCATTCTTTTATGAGTAAAGCAATATCTGACATTGTTATACTATGACCAACTTTAAAACAAAATTATCAATATTTCAATCAAATAATACTGCAATTGCACGAAATATATTAATTTGCCCTATATAGGATACGCATCTTTATCAGGCACTCTTTAACGCAGAAACCTCTAAAAAATTCTTTGTTTAGAGCTATCTTCAGAGTCATCGGTCCTCCCCGTTGCCGCTGGCATCTCTGTTTTTGTTGGCTTTGTGGTGATCGCCATTTTAGGGATTTCCGTTTTCCGACGACAGAGGTAAAATAAGAAGATATTGCCACCAAAAAATACACAATCGTAAATACTGTCGAAAAATTTACTTAATGACTATTCATATAGAAAATAGACAATTTCAAGCGTACATGACTTAATGCAATGTTATATTCTTACTCGTTATTAAACATTTTAATTATATATTCGTTTCATTCCTTTGAGATGCATATGAATGAGTTATCCGATATTAAATATGGACAATTATGTAGTTTAGAACCAAAAGTAGCAATGTTAAGTTTTGTCAAAGTCATGTTACAACATTGAGGAGTATTTCTATAACACTTATATTCATTATACGCATGTTGTTGTTTATTTGGTTTTATGATCCTATCTACATTTTGAATAAAGGAACATTTAAGAACGGAAATTTCTATGAAGGTTAATCGTGCCTATACAAAATCATGTGCAGTTTACGTAATATGTCACTTTAACGTTAGAACATTTCATAAACTGACGTACAAGGCGATTTAATGCACTTTTGTTGAATTTTCGAACGTACATGTAGTTGCAACCTTGTTAGAAATAAAAGAAGAAAAGTAAATACTTAAACATGGAAAAGCAGTTCCTATCAAAATCAGAAACCCACCCAGCGAGAAAAAAAAAACTCTAACTTTTTTTGTTGCTCTATACTGGAGCAGAAAGCATTATTCAATCAATTTAGATTTTACTTTCGAAATTAATAGCGATGTCATGAATCAATTTCTGGAATAACTCACAACTTTAACACTTGGTGACGTTATATTCTAAAGCATTTAAGTAAACGTTTAATCATATTCGGTAATGGGTTTTTTAAAACTCTATCAAACAGGTCTCAGGGTACACAGGAAAGGAACCCAAAGGTAACAGTCGACAAAGGGCATGAAAATAACGGATTCCATCCCCAGAACGTCAGAACCCTCGAGGATCCGGACGAAGGAACTTACCACTACCCTAGCTTCCCTCTGAGCCCTCCCCCAAGGGACGGGGACACCATCTACCAAGAGATCGAAAAGAAAGACCCAAAGGGACCGGCAAAGATGACCAAAGACGGTGGCGACCGAGTCCCTGGAAGGAATGCGTACGACCTTTTGGAACTACCTGGAGACGGAAGCCTTGACTCCAACAAGAAGACATCGCGTTCGACGGAGAAGTTGTCGGTGCCGCAAGGCTCTCCGTTGTTGTCCCGGTGTGTGAACCGCAGCTTGGGCTATGAGACCCTTGATGGAACCACAGGGTCAACATCGTCGGGCAAGGAGAGGGCGTCCTCTTTGATAACGGCGAAGGATGCCTCTGCAAACGAGACCAAACAACCCACACCAGCTCGCGGTGAGTGCGAGTACTTGGAGATCCTGCCCTCGGACGAGCTGGAGTCTTTGAAACTGCAGGATAAGAATGACCAGCCTGTCCTTGCACACCAGAATCTCTACCAGCATCTGGAGCGTAAGGACATTTCATTCCAAACACCAACGCAGGGTCAGACGGCGGAGCAGAAGTCTTCTGTAGGTACGGATATCACCGAGGAGAACTATGGAAAACTTGATATTGCCGCTGACAGCCCACCTGGAGGACCTAGCTACTTCGTCCTCGAGGCCAATACAGATTGCTGAATACAAGTGCAATATCAAAACCCGTGAAGATATACTCTAGCCTGTTTACATTTGCCTTGGGTCAAAGTTCATACACCGGACATATTTGACTTACTAGTTCATGAATGTACAAATCTGGCACGCAGCGAAACTTGCGTTCCCCGACCGTACTTGCAGTGAGAAACTCGGAAGATCATCTGGCATTCTTCGGATGGGAAATACATGATGATGACTGTTCTTTACGTGGCGGCGATTTAAAAGTGGCTGGAGGCTGTACACGTTACCTAAGATCGTTTTGAGTGCAGTCCACTAGTAATAAATAACGTCCGTTACCTGGTAAATAGCCGAATCGTCATGTCAAACTCCCTTTGAGAATCCACATTTGCGCGTTTTTTTGAATATTCTCTAACAGTCTCCCCTGTCGCTGAAAAGCTAATGTTGAGCAAACGGGAAGTCACGGCCTTTTCCATAAAACACCTGCTTTAGGTGGAGTGTATATAAGAGATTGATAAGGTTTCCAGCCGTGGTAGTCGAAAAAAAAAAGAATAGCGACTGACTGTGATGTTATTTTGTTTAAATTGAGGAAAAGGTAAAAGGTTATGGAAGGTTTTTATGTCTACTTTGTCTTTATCATTGTTATTGGTGGTAATGGTGTTGTTGTTGTTGGTGGTGGTGGTGGTGGTGGTGATGGTGGCGTTTCTAGTGCGTAAGGTAGTCTACAATTTATCTTCATTACAAAGTGACTTCTTTAGATATTTTTTATTTGTTGATATTATATTATTGATTCGGGATGTACTGTCTCATTCGATTTCTAGCGGTATCGTTACATAAATCTGAATGATATTTTAAATGTTCTTATGTTTTAAAGTCAAACCACGAAACGGCCTAAAGCCTGCAAAATAGTTGCGAGTCTTGGTTGTTTTTGTTGTTGTTGTTGGATTTGTTGGCGCTATCCATCGATTCCGATGATTTCTGCCAGGCTTGGTGTGAGAGGACGTCTTGCTCTCTTTTCTGCAGCTCCACTTACGTTTCTGTGATTCTGATACTTGCCCGGTGTGTGAGATAAAGACTTACCTTGACCTTTGTTATTGGCGTAGTGAAAGGTTATGGAGGAATAATCTCTGTGCTCGTTATTCATTATAATTATGTTAGTTATCTAATATCTGATACCGTATCTATACAAATTGTGATACACCTAGTTGGTTACCGCAAGGCGCCACGGCAAAAGTAAATTTCCTAAAATAAAAGTAATTTTAACTAATTTCAAGTGGTGGTATATAGGCCTACAAGAATTAGATTTGTCAAGCCTGACAGAATACCCCGACTATCTTCTGCCCTCATATCAATCCTTGAATTTGCTCCTAGTCCTTGTTGAAACACCGGGATAACGCATTATTGAATTGAATTGATTTTTTGTTCACAACAACATACAATATACACGATATACATAATAATTACTCATCACATAATATTACATTAAACAAATTAGGAAGAAACAAAATATTTATACTACACACATATTAATGTTAAAGTTGAATATTTTAAAAAGTGATAAGATTATAACAAAACCCCATTTTTGTATTAATACATGTAAATGGGTATTCTTTTAAGTTTTATTGGAAAAGAAGTCAAAACAAAACAAATAAATGAATAATAATTACAATTCAGTTGAGGTATACGAATTAAAGGTACTATGTCCCATTTGCAGGCCAAACAAATGAAAAGGTCAATTTTTTAACGGCATTTGAAAGATAATACTAATTTAAAACTTCCCTAAAAAAAGGGGGGGGCTTGAAATGTCTTTAAGTGGGAAAATAACGACTATTAGTTTTCCAATCGACTTAAGTACTACCAAGTCAGTAAGTAATAGTCTGATTTTCACCATTGTATCGGATGGTCGTACGTTTTATGCTGCGCAAAGCTTCAACCAGTTTAGTTTTGGCCATTACAAAAAGTGGGTTATTGATGTAGACATATGCGCATGTACCCTTTACAGCTCATTTCATGTATGTTATTACCAGAGAAGAAGAAAAGCCAGTCAGACAGTCAATAGTGTATGAAAGTGAAGTCTAGCAAGTAAACGGGTTTCCTTGCATAATTTGAATATTAGGACACTGCTAACGTTTAAATTTCACAGATAGGACATACATGACATATTCATAATTCCTGCAAAGTTCTACAAAATTTGATGTTGGCTGCAAAAGGGACATAGTATCTTCAACGGAAGTATGGCGTAAAAGGTAGACCTACTTTTTAAGTTTGGATTTGAACATGTTCTGGGATTAAGATTTGTACATATTTTCAGGTCATTATTACAGATGACTAGGCCATTATGAAAAAAGCACCGAATTCATCCCCTTTATTAACTTTGTGTAATATAGGCTAATTGAATATGTAACATGGCTTCCTTGCCTGGACTTATTGCTGTAAGTAATAAATATATATGTTTGTAAGGTAACTGTTTCCTCCATTAAATGATTTATGAAATAATCAGTGATAATGTCATGACACGTAAATTGATCATTTTTAACACTCATGTTTGTGCGGTCTACTGTTAAAGAAATAAGAGAGTGAACGACACAGAGAGAGAGACTGATGAGGGTTTAAAAATAGAGAGTAAATAGAGAGAGGAGAAAAGAAAAAGAGAGCTAGAGAGATAGTCCAAAATATGGCCGATTTATTATTTATCTCCACCACCGCGATCTCCCCTATTTGCTGTGAGCCGAAGATGGAGTGATCCTCAAATTTCTACGTCCAGTGAAAAAGCTGGGCGAACGGGTTCGTTGATAACGCCATCTTCGGCGGCTTGAAGCAAGCACAGGAAATGATCATTGAGATAAAATATAAGAACCGGCCATATTATGGACTACTAGAAAGAGAGAGGGAGAGAGAGAGAGAGAGAGAGAGAGAGAGAGAGAGAGAGAGAGAGAGAGAGAGAGAGAGAGAGGGGAGGGAGGTGTGGATGGGGTAAGAAAAATGAGAGAAGAAAATAGAAAGACAGAGAGGGAGAGAGAGAGAGATATTGTAGGACATAACAAAGGTACTATGTCACATTTGCAGTGGGCCAAACAAATGACAGGTTATATTCCAACGGCATTTAAAAGATAATAATAATAATTTTGAACTTTCCTCAAAACAAAAGGGTTTGAAAATGTCTTTCAGTGGAAAAAATAACGAGCATTAGTTGTCGAATCGACTTAAGTGGTTGCAATCGTTTTAGTAATAGTCTTACGATTCAATCTGTTTAATTTTGGCTATTACTAGAAGTGGGTTATTAATGTAAACAAACCTCATGTACCTTTACAGTTCATTTGTAATGTTACCAAAGAAAAAAGAAGAAGTCAGCCACTCACTCAATCGTGTCTGACAGAGAAGTCTAGAAAGTAAACATAATTTGACGATAAAAGGACCCTGCCAACGTTTACATTTTACAGATAAGACGTACGTGACATATTCATAACTCCTGCAAAGGTCGACAGAATTTGATGTTAGCTGCAAAAGGGACATCGTACCTTTAAATAATGTCCCTATCGCTTCGATCAGGATGTGTGTTTTATGATACCCACTAACATATAGTGTGTAAATATGAAAGAATACATGCGTAATGAAGCTACCATTTCTTATGACTTGGACTCCATGGAAGAACAGAGCCATTAGGTTAATGGCTCTGAAATGGACTATCCGACCGTTTTATCATTCTATTATTGTTATATAAGTCTTTGATTTTGTTATATTGTGTTATTGTTTTTATATGATGATTCTCGGAAATAAAACAAACAAACAAACTCATGAAAATAAAAGGGGAATCCCCTTCTGAATATCGGTTAATGTGTTCCGTATATAGAGGTTACCAGGGCATGTATCTACTGTAATGTACATGTAGTAGATACGGTGGCGAGACTGCGTCTAGAGATGAATGAAAGAATGAAAAACGGAATCTATATCAATAGGGTTCAATTAAGATATAAAATACAAAGAAGAAGAAGAGAACGAAAAAAGGGAGAGAGAGAGAGAGAGAGAGAGAGAGAAAGAGAGAGAGGAAAAAAAGAGGGGTGAAACGAAAGAGAGAAAATAGAGAATGATTGTCAGCTGGGAATGGAAAGAGAGAGAGAGGGAGTGGGAAAGAAAGAAAGAAAGGGATAAAGAGGGACATATATAATTATCTTTATATGTATAGAGAGAGAGGGAGGGAGAGAGACAGAGAGAGAGAGAGACAGAGACAGAGAGAGAGAGAGAGAGGATGAGACGGAGGGAGAGAGAGAGAGAGAGAGAGTGGTGAGAAAAGGGGGAGAGGATAGTTAGGAGGAGAGAGATATATAGAAAGAGAGAGAAGAGAGAGAGAGAGAGAGAGAGAAAGAAAGAGAGAGAGAGAGAGGACCATAATTCCAGATACAATAAGTACCATTGAACATCCTTTTATTCGAATGGAGCCGGCATTCAGCATCATTTTGTTCTTTTTCCTGTTTCCATCACAATGGTCTGTCAACATGGAATACAATGGATGTACAACAGAGACATCACAAAAAGATCAAGACCATGGGAGTGGGCCTTCCATAGATATTAAATTCTTTGATCAAACCACATGACTCCCATTGAATTTGTAAACATGATACCCCGTTCTGTTATGTGAGAATTTTACTCTTCATAATTACAATGCATTATATTTTCTGTTTTTGTACCATTAAAGGAGATCCCCTCTCTCTCTCTCTCTCTCTCTCTCTCTACCTCTACCTGTATCTCCCTTCCCGCTCCTTTTTCCATAAAATAACAAAATGGAAGAGAGAACAGGAGAGAGAGAGAGAGAGAGAGAGAGAGAGAGATATTCCTGGTAAAAATTGTGGTAATGATTTATATTATGTGTGAAATTTGGACAATGTTATTCTTCTATAAATCATAGACTGACTACGCTAAAACATGTTAACTTCCAAGTTTCTCTTTCAAACTCCTCTCTCTCTCTCTCTCTCTCTCTATCTCCCTATGTCTCTCTCTGTCTCTCACTGTGTGTTTCTCTCTCTCTGTATCTACCTCCCTATTTTTCTATATATCGATTTCTTTATCTGACTACTTCTTTTCTGTCTCTCTGTCTCCCTTTGTCTCCCTCTCTCCCCCTCCACCGCCCCACCTATACTACAAACATGTATATCATATCCTTATTTGTTTTCTTTTAAATTTCATTGTGTACATTCCATGTAATTCATGTTAAGGACAGCTATGAGGATATCAATACCATTTCAATTTAATTGAATCAATATAAACTCAACTTGTTTTCCCTTTCTTCTACTATAAAAGGGCGTACATGCAGTACATTAATTAACTCTGTTCACTTTGATGTGTATTCCATATGTATTGTAATGTGTAGGTTTATTTGCACTTTTTTGTTTTGTTTAATATGTAATTATTTATCAGTCTATTTTGTGTGCTATAACGTTTAGAGACTTCGGTGGTAAGCGCTTTATAAGTATCGTTTTTATTATTATTTATTATTATTAATTACTATATCAATATCATTTTTAGCAGGTTTTATTGCCGTGCAACTGACTTGATATCCCTAAATAGAAAATGAATTCAAGGTAAACATCGATACTGACGTCCTAATAATACAATAAAATGGAATTACGACGGAAACTAAAGCTCAGATTTCACGCCTCATTAGAGTACACGGTCAAAGTCCCTATCGTAAAAACAGCAGACAAGCACGAAATACCCACAATTTTATTGTCGATTTAATATTAGAGGTCTCAAAATGCCAGGTTAGGATGCCGAAAGGTAGTTTATTGAACGTTTCGACGTCACTTTTACTTTTTGAGAAATTTGAAGAAGAGCAGCAAAAACCCACAAAAACAAACTACATGGGTCTTGTATGTGTTTCATGCTTATGATCATTGCTCAAAATGTGTCTTAA